GATCTAGAGTAAAATGTGTTGTTGAGTTGTTGGGTTTTTTTCAAAAGGCTTGTAATGGAGACAAGTGTTCTTCCATTGTGAAGATTGAGAATAAAATCCAGATGAGCAGAAAGTTTCCTGACTTGCCAGTGGATTTTTTTATTGTGTTTTGGCGGTGTTGGCTTGAAGAAGAACCCCGTGACAGAGGGGGTGAGACAGACCCTCTGTGATCAGGGTGGCCTTCCTCATCACAGAGCTCTWAAACGGTTCACAAATATGTATTTGTGTTCATCCGGTAAGTCTTTATTTAGTTTTACACATGTCTCGAGAAAAAAAAAAAAGGCATTCCAATCTATTATATTTTATCATTTCCAGCTGAAGAGATTATGTTTCTGAAAACCTGGTCACACGACGGACCACTACAGGAGATTCTTCCTGCCCACTTCAGTATTTATAACAACTCTTTAAAGAAACCTGGATAATATGAGTTACAACATTTAATTTCCCTTTGGGATTAATAAAGTATTATAGACTTGATTTGAATGTGGTTGAATCCAAACATTTTGATCAGCTGTAGGAGTGCATCTAGTGATTACCTTCTGTGTGTTTCATTACAACCCATCCATTGGTTCATGAAATATTTTACTGACAAATTATGCATTTAAGCTTAAGCATTGCCCCTCCCCTTGGTGGCGTCCCTGCAGCCTACACTCACCTCTGCAGAGGGACTTGTAGCCGAGCCAGCAGCAGCTGGAGTCCCCACAGCGATCCTTTTTCACCTCCTGATGAYGTGACTTACAGCCTCCCAAACACAGAGGAGCCGACCCAGACCAGTATGTGTCGTCCACAAAGTCCGGCTGGGGAATCCATTCAGTCTCACCTGCAGGACAGCACACGTATTTCCTGCTTTATACGCTCAAACTGAACCAACATCTGTGCAATCAATAAAATTTAGATGATTTTTCATGAAAACATTGTTTAAAATACATCCTTGTTGTTTTAGCTGGTCCCACATGGGATATAACTTTCCAGGACATTACACTGGAGGGAGAAAATGAGACCATGGAGATTCTTACCACTAACTTCCAGCTCCCTGTTCCACTCCGATGACTGAGTAAAACCTCCCGGGATGCAACAGAACACAAACAGCAGCAGCGCAGGGAATGTCACGATGCTCATCATCATCACTCTCTGAGAAAAACAGTCTGAGAACTGGTCAGCGACAACAGACTGATCATTGTAAAACACAAGAAACCGCAAAGTATTTTCTCCCTTAGAGCTGCAGCACAAAGCAGCCGTGAGTTTAAGTGAGACTGAAGCTAAGCTGCGAGTGCTTTCTAATCTGTAATACTKTGGACAGAGTCATGCTGTGACTGGCCTCTTATTTAAATCTCTGAAAGCTGTTTTAAAGCTCACAACAAAAAATAAATATAAAAAAATATGAGAACATTGTTTTGTTGGGAATAGATTTATGAGAAGAATCAATGAAAAGAAGGCAAATTCAGTAATTTTTTTATTTTTTTATTTTATCATTTTAGCAGTTGTACAACAAGTTTTAGCTCACAAGAAATTCAAAGGTTTGTTTTACAAATAAAAAGATGCTTGTATGGAGGACCAAAACTGATAATTAGAAATAAAAGCAGAAATATATAACCGGACCAACAAATAAACAAATACACTTAAAATGCACCAATTAAATTAAAGGAGAACTTTACCTAATGTTTTACAATTTAATTTACCTTAATATTTATTTTTCCAGCTTAGATTCAATAAATCAATACATTTAAGAGCATAATTTACATTTTATTGCTTTTAAAAATATATTTTTTATTTTTCCTTTTACTTGTACACATCTCTTAAATCAATGATTCCGGGTTACGTGCACCCCTTGGGGTACATGAGCATATTACAGGGGGTATGTGGAAACATTTCCCATTGCCTGATTTATTTATTTAATTACCTATTCACTTTCAAGGCAATGTTTTATATTTATGTTTAATTTGAGTTGAAAAAAATAACATGCYTGAGAATTAAACATTCTAGGGTGTTAAATAAACAATTTTCATTTAATAATCAGTTGTAGTACATTATAATTTTGGAGAATAATCATTACGTTTGACTGAAGGGGTACTAGTGGTATGACAAAATGGCTCAGGGGGTACACAAGTCTAAAATGTTGGGAAACACTGGTCTTAAGTCCTGAAACATAACAGCACTTTCAGGACCTTGGACAGTTCCTTCAGCCCTGCACACTGTCGAAGGTCCTGAAACATTTTAGGACTTTCAGGACCTCGGACAGTTCCTTCAGCGAGAAGTTTGACTGAAGGGGTACTAGTGGTATGACGTAATGGCTCAGAGCGTACATGTCTTAAAAGGTTGAGAACCAGTCTTAAATGATTATATTTAATGTATTTTTAACAAATTTTCCCATCGTTTTTTTCCACGTTTTGTTTTGGCATTTCTCTGTCTCTTGTATTTACTTCACCTTATGCATTTCTGCCTCTATATGCAAATAAAAGGGGCAGCCCTTCTTAGGTCAGCTCCTCTCCAATWGGTCAACAGGAAGGAGCAGGAATTATGTGCAGCTCGACTGTGCGTGTTTGTGCTGCCTCGGTTTAGCTTAAAGTTGAGTTTAAAACAAAGGCAAGGAGGAGAACACTCACCTGTGCCTTTGTTTTGTTCATATGTGTGCCTGAGCCAGCAAAGAATCATAATAGAGTGATTATAATATTCAGATAATATTATTAAACGTAAAAATAGATCTATTGTCTTTGTTGATTCAACTTGTTTAAAATTTAAAATGRAATAATTACCTGAAAGTCAGCAAATGTTTCATTTCGCAGGTAAAACAAACTGAATAAAAACTAATGGTTCAAATGTTTATTGACGTTTCAGACTGATGCATKATTAGTGATGAGGAAACCTTTGAAGTTCTGGTTTCATTCCTTTTGTGTTCAWAAAGTGACTTCTCAGTTTTAGGATTTGTGGCAGATATGACAAGTGCCTGAACCTCAAGATGATTTTAAACCAACTTTAAATATCAGAAAACRTGATAATATCAAATACATCACATAAAAAACATTTTAGTGCCTAACATAGGCCAATATGTGACCCATCACATTGAAATGTGGATTAAATCAAATTTGTTCAAAATGACATCATATTTTCAGATTCCTGCTTTAAAAGCTAAATTTTGATACTTTGATCAACCTGATATCATAGGTAGATCCAGAGATATTATTTAATTTGTCTTGTTGGTTACAATAATACATAAATACTTGGTCTAAATACTAATTTTAATGAGGATTTTTTTATGTCATTTGAAAAAAGAAACCTCAAATAGTATTTGACTACTGAGATTTCGCAGCTGGAAAGAAACAAAAGCTTTGATAGCTTACAGTGAAAATCTAAACATTTTAAGGCGTTTTTCCTCAAAATCGTGTTTGGTTGCTAGTGCTCCAAAAGTGCTTCAAAAWTTTTTTAAGGATAATATTTCAGACAGTTCATTGAAATGATACACTGGTTACATTTTGACAAAATGTAATTTTTGCAAGTGGTTTWGTCAAAACACTATCTGACTATTTCGCCACATCTTAATCCTCGTTTCGATGTGACAGGTCACATATAGTGATTAAGGTGGATCTCCATAATCTATGCAGAACTCAATAAGGGCTCAGGTTCTACAAACCTCTTTGTTCAGTCACCAAATACTGYATGAGAAAAAAACATGGCTGACTAGTTTTGACATGTAGGATGACCATTAATTCAGTCCACCAGCATTCCTTGTTGCTGCTCTGTGTCCTGGAGCTGCATTAACACAGAGTCCTCCCCTGCCTGCGACAAACCTTTTGTCAGGACGTACAGCATGTCCCCGTCCTGACCCCCTTCCTCGCTCCTCTCCTCCTCCAGCAGCACCCCACGCAGCTCCGCGGCACACTCGCCCTCCAGCTCTCGACTCTCAGCATGGTCGCTGTCGCTGTCGTCATCGCCCTCGGCTCGCCTCTTCTGCTTCTCTCTCATCAGCTGCTCCGTTAGCTCCACGCTCTCGTAGCGGATCAGCTGCAGCCGCATGAAACCGTCCTCGTGTTGTTTGTACCTGGTAGGTTAGCATAAAGCCTGTAAAACTTCACACGGGGAAGCCAAGTGGAACTGTGCTCGAGACTAACCTGAACCTGGGGTGTCCAGAGGGCCATTTGAACTGGTGCTTTTTGTGCAGATGGACAGTAAGGCCGTTGCCTCTTGTGAAACACTGGCCACATACGTGACACTTGTAGCGAGCTGTGAAACTCTTCTGATTACACAGAGAGAGAAAAAACACATTATGATCTAAAACCTGGGGATAAGTTTAGGTTTTTCCATCTCACTTATTACCGCAACAAGCAATGAACTAGAGAAATTGCATTTCCTGTGAAAATGCTGGTGTGAATGCTTCATGCTGAAAACTTAAGCTGAAAGCTGCTGAAAATATTTAATAGGACATGTTAATGTGAGCTCACTTTGAAAAACTGAAAGCAAAAAAGCCTAACTCCATAAAAACAGTAGAAAGGAGCACAAATCTAGTTGAAAACAGAAAACAGCTAAAAGCTAAGAGCTAAAATAGCTGAATATAGCTGAAAACATCTGTAAGAAGCATAAATAGCACTAGGWAGCAGTAAAAAAGTATTAAAAGTAGAAAAAAGCAGAAGAATAGCTAAAGTAGCATAATGTAGCTAAAATGAGCATAAAATAAGGTAAAGGCAGCAGCCACAATTTGAAATTAGCACCCAGTTGAAATAGTTTTAGTTAAAAAAAACTAAAACAGAAAAAAGGCAGGAAAAAAGTGTAAAATTACATAAAAATTATCATTTGTAGTGAAATAATTCTAACAGCTGAAATTTTCAGCTAAAAAGTAGCTGGAAATTATTTAATTAGCATAAGGAGCACAAGTTTGCTAACCTTAGCTAAAAAAAGTTGTAATAGCTACAAAAAGTTTGTATTTAGCTTAGAAAAGCTAACCTTAGCTAATAGCAGCTAAACATTAGCTAAAATTTCAGCAAATAGTTCAATATAGCAGAAAACATCTGTAAGAAGCATAAATAGCACAAAGTAGCAGAAAAAAGCACAAAAAAGTAGACAAATCAGAAGAATAGCAGAAAGAAGCAGAATTGTAGCTGAAATAGCAGAAAAAAACTATTAGCAAAAAGGTAGCTAAAATTAGCACACGAAAGTGAAAAAATAAAGCATAACCTGAACAAAATGTGTAAGGTGCTGTGAAGATTTAGAAACATTTTAAAATATTTTAAGGATGTTGAAAACAGCTCCATTAATTTTCAATGGCAAAAAAGTGGCTAAAAAAGGTGAAATAGCTAAAAAAGTATACATAGCTGAAACACCAAAAGTCATAGCACCCCTCATCTGAATGAGCTGAAAGTTTTGATATATGAATTGTTGAAATAGCACAAAAATTGTGGAACGAGTTAGATTCCGAAAAATGTACGGAAGAAAAAATGATCTCTTAAAACCAAATAAATAAATAAATAAATAAATCACCTCGTGCTCTTTTTGGTGGTGGATCTTCATGGTGCCGGGCGTGCGGCAGGTGAAGCTACATCCAGGGACGTCGCAGCGAAACGCAGGATCACCGCTGTGGGTGTCCAGGTGTTTACGCAGGTCGATCAGATTCTTACAGCTATAAAAACACACAAAAAAAGGCAAATGAAGTATTTACCTGCCTGATTCTAGCTTGTACCGTTGCAGAAGAAAACGACACAATACCTGTATTCACAATAATCGCAGCTGTATGGCTTCTCGTTGCTGTGGCGGAACTTGATGTGGCTGCGCAGGGACGAAGGTGATGGGCAGGTCATGTCACACAAAGGACACTTGTAGTGGCTTACTGTTGCAACACAGGGAAAACAAAGAAGTATCTGCATTACAACGTCCATTTATCTACTAATCAAAAAATAAAAATAAAATAAATCAKATATGAGCAAAAAGTAAGAATTGAGCATTAAGACCTGCAGAGTGAAAGTAGCATAAGTTACAGAGTGATGAAGCAGAGACTGACCGTGGGTCCTCATGTGGTCTCTCAGCAGTCTTTCTGTTGCAAAACGTTTGGAGCAGTGAGAACACTGAAACCTCTGACCTACAACACACACACAAAGCAACAATTACGTAATGGCAACGTTAAAAGTCATTTTCTTCATTACTTGAACAGAGGCTACCTTCCATGGCGCTCTGTCGTATGATGTGGTCAAAGAATTTGGTGTTGTTTGCGTACATGCCCCCGCAGCCTGGACACGCCACCATCTTCTCCTGGGTGTGGCTGCGCAGGTGTTCCCGCAGCTTGGGACGTCCTTTAGCCGTCGCTTCACAGTCTAAAACAAAATGACAGATGACACATCCTAACGTCTGCCAAGAGGAATTAAGACTGCGTAAATCAAATCTTGAGACGTTAAACACCTTTCCATCCACAGCGAACAGGAAACTCACAGTCTCCGGTTGGTATTTCGATGGACAGTGTGTGCATTTCCACATGGCGATAAAACCATTCAGGGTTCTCATAAGGTGGTTGCTTTGACAAAAAGTAAACAAACACTTCATTTCGAGCAGCTTCAATTTTTTTGCTCAGAAAGAAGAGAGTGAATCCACTGCATCAAATATATCTGWCTGTCTCACCTCACATTCTTCCCAAAGACAGATGAAATTGTCGGGGATGTCTGGGATGATGTTGCGGTTGTGGTAGGAGATGGAGCAGGAGCCCAGCTCAGGCTGAGCATCGAGGACCTGCTGACCCAGCTGCTTCAGCTTAGTGTGGTAACAGTGAAACAGGAGATGTCGACGAAGTTCTTCAAACCCATCAACAGAGCAGAAACCACAGTCCCTCCACAGACAGTTCCTCTCCTCTGGACCAAAACAAAGAGCGTGCAGCAACAAGGTATTCTCTACCTCAGGAACACAGACAGGACGTGAACTCACCTGCTTCTGCTTCTTCATCTTCCTCCTGATTCAAACCTGTCAGGTGACCTTCTACGTGTTTACAAAAGTTTTCCATTTGACTGAAGGATTCTTGACACGATGCCCACTCACAGCCCAGTTGAAGCGCTCTCTTTTGAATTCGCTTTTTTGGAGGCATCTCTCTAGTAGCTACTCCCAGACGACAAAGCTAATTTATTAGCATTAATGTTTTGGACAAGTAGCTAACTGTGACATTACGAGCTACAAGCTTTAGCAGCTTTAACGGGACAAAGTTCCCCTGGAAGCGAGAAAAAAAAAACTAAATATAACACATAAGGAGAAAAATATTTATAGCTTTAATTTATTACTAAAAGGTGAAACTAAACCAGTTTATATAGTGGGTACCTACGGAATCAATTCTACGCGGGTCATGTGCAACACGTAAAACCCGACGGAAACAAAGTGTAGTTTAATAGTTCCGGTAAAACATTTTATTTTCATTTCAATGTCAATTTAACTTTACCCCCCCCCCCACACACACACACACACACACACACACATTATTATACTGATGAACATTTAAAAGAAAAAGAATCATCCTTAGTAGCATTAATCAACTTTAAAAAATAAGAACAAAAATAATTACTTTTTCCACATTAATTAAAATTTCACAAACGATGAGTCAAATCTGGCAAATATTTGCGTTATTCATTAAGCATATTTTAAAAATCAACCCAATTATGATTTCCTACTTAATAACTTTTGCTCTTGTTGCAGATAAAAAATGAGTCAATACAACAATTAAAGCAAAACCTTATTTATTTTTTGTTTTATTTCACATTTTTTATACTTAAATTCAAGCATAAACAGTGTTTCACTCTTAATTACATTCTTTAAAAAAAAAGACAAAATCAGTTTTAGTGCCAGTTCATTCCTAAATGTCAGCTGAACCCTTTCTTAGAAGTGGAGACACCTTTCAAACGTCTTAAAGCTTTACTTTTACAACAATTTAGACATTATTAGCTCACGTTATCTGCTCTAATAACCTTTTTCTTTATCCTCAGATTGATTTAAGACACCGTTTTTCTTTACAATGATCATTCCTTGGGAATTTGTTCAGAGGTATTTATGCAGGCATGACAAAAGCCATTTTTTAAAAGTCAGCATCTTATTCAGTGCATCACTATGATGCAAAGCGGTCTTGAATATTTATAAATCTATTATCAAATTGTAACAAACTCGAGAAATTCAGCCCCMAAAAAATGGCTGTGTCGTCAAATAGTAAGCCTCCTTACTTTCCTCAAAAAATATAAAAAGAAAAACAGAAAAATATCCTTTCAAGGTGGACACTTAAATTTAACACCATTGCTGCTGCTGATGTCAGACCCTCACACACACATATATGCTTAAATGACTTAGCAGTGAGTTTTTGCTGCAGATAGTCAGAGAAACGACAGAGAGCTAATAGTATCTGTTAAAAAGCCTTTAAAACATCTCCACAACAGTACGTTTCCTCCATCCATTGTCTCCCCTCTTTAAGAAAAGCCGTCTTAGACGTCATAAAACAGACGCACGAGATGATAACGGACCCCAAAAGCCACTGCGCTCCCCATCACCTGAGTGAGACGAAGAAACAACAGTTGAAACGTTTTTATCCGACTGACAGTGGATCTGAATATAGCAGGTGTGTGTTTACCTGTATGGCCAGCATGATGGCCGTCAGAGTTCTCTCGTGGATGGGTCCGAGTACTTTCAGAACCAGGTTTATCAAAGTCATGTTGTTGCATTCAATATAATCCTTGTCTTCACCCTGGCCTCGGCGCACCTCCAGCAGCTTTAGCAGCTCACAAACCTGCATGTTGAGAGGTTTTTATGCATCTAAAACAAATATCACTGCTTTCAAACATGTTGTATTGTTATTTTAAGAGGAGGAACTCCCTAAGTCAAGAATATTCAAAATGATTCTAATTTCTTTGAGCTGTAAAAATAAAAAAGTAAAAAAAAAAGATGTATCTACGTCCCTAGCACATTATCAACAATTTACAAAAGAAATGTGCAGTGAGAGAAGTTTTACCTTCAGAATGAGGTGTCCTAAGGTCGAGAGGTCTTTTGTTTTAAATTTAGAGTAGCTCATCCCCAGTTTGCCTGTGTCTGCATTCAGTCTGTTAATAGTAATGAAGAAAGGAGAAAGAAATATGTTAAAACTATATGTATGTGACAATGCACACTGATCCACCACTCATTTTTAAACATTTTGCTTACAAAAAGACAAAACTTTCTGGAATCAGCAACATGGCCTTAAATGATTTTTCTGGATTTTCTGAAGATCTGTCACTAAGTTATTGTGTGAATGGGTGAATAACTATAAAGTGCTTTGGGGTCCCCCATGGGGCTTGATAAAGCGCTATATAAGTTCAATCCATCTACCATGATTCAAGACTTTTGCTCACTAATGTAGATTTTGCATAAGTGAGAAATGATGCATCTGAAAAGTAAGTGACCTGGGGAGCCGATGCCTCGGACAGGGGACGATGTGAAAAAGCTGAGGCAGAGAGTAGACAAAGTTCACCACTTGAGGTATGAAGAAGAGCAGCATTGTTTTGCTGAAGTGACCCAGGATGCCCACGACAGCGAAGGTCATCCCCGCAAAGTAGCAGAACGTGTCTCCCACAAACACAGACGAGGGATACCTGTCACAAACAAGTTGCAGGTCGTCGAATTAGAGCTGAATAACAACTCTGCATGTTCAAACACAGGGAAAAAAATGATTTATTGTTTAAAAAATGCTCCAGGTTGTAGATTTAGCTCACCAGTTGTGGTAAAAAAGTGCTAATGTAGTGAAGAAGAACGGTATCATGAAGTAGAGGGAGAAAACATGATCATCACGGTAATCACCTAGAATTTAATAAAAATACAAAACAAATTTACATTAAAAAAATGCTCATTTGATTATTTCATTAAAATACATCTAATAAAAACAGACCAGTGTAACGCTGGTGAAGACAAAAGGACCTACCGCTGAGCTCCAATAAATTGAAGATGATGATGGAGCCGGAGATAAACAGGGCTTGACCCGACTCGATGCCATTGATGCCCGCTAAGATGTTGATGGCGTTTGTGCAGAAAACTGCAAGCATCCCCATGTAGACGTAGTAGAGGATACCTGCAGATGATATAACAAAAAACATTAAAAAAGGAATGCAAGATGTTTTTTGTAAAGTCTTTCAGAATTCATATTTCAAAATAAAATAATGCAAAAAAGAGGATGCTGTATTAGTTCCAGCACATGAAAATTCTTGGGAGTGGCTTAAAAAAAGAGAAGTCCTTAGCACACGCTTTCACCACCAAATAATGAGATCAACTTACCCAGGTCCAAGTGGAGCCCAAGCAGAGCTCTGAAGGGCTTAGGCACCACGATGACAGTGTTGCCGAAGTTGGTGAAGTACACCATGAGCAGCGGCAGGGACGCCATGGTGGGAAGAAGGAGCTTGTGCCTCCACCGCAGGTTCAGCACATCATCAGCAAAGCCCAAGAAGATCATGCAGCAGATGGCCAGGAGTGCGCCGATCAGCTGCACAAACTGCTCCAAGAAAACACACAGAAACAGGTCAAAGCAATGGATGAGACGCGGGATAAAAACACAGGTTTTCAGCCTACCTCATCATGAGGAAAGCCCATGCACTGATCTCCAACAAAGCAGCTGAGGAAAGGCACTGGGATGAAGCAGAAGAGGATGATGAGGAAAACCGTCCCACTGATGACTCCTTGAGACTCTGGGCTGCAAATCATCACGACCAGGAAGACACACAAGATGGGAATATTCATTAACACAAACTTGGAGATATCATAATAAACTGCGGGAAAAAACAAAACAAAACTCACACTTCCTTCTTGGTTGTTTTGTTTAGGTCTATTCCGTAAAGTCGAGCTGAGATAAAATGCTCTTTAAAAGCAGGAATGAGTTTAAGTGTAGCCAAGCAGCCCAGAACAGACATTAAACAGTTGATCACTAGCGGAACAGTGGGTACTGGTGACATGTTTTCAGGCATTGTCTAATGAATTCCTATCACAATCACGTTTTCAATGATAAATCTGACGTACAGGTTCCTTCCACACAAACAACAATATTCGAGCTCTGCTGTTTTAAATGAAGTAACAACGCGTCATGCCGTCATTTTAGTCAAAGGCGTTCCTCGGTCATTTCCACGTCAAAGCAAAAGCAGTCCTGAAGTCACTATGATGAGCCATTTTTTCATTATATGAGCTGCCTAGCTGTCTTAACTCCACGTCTGTGTTAACAGCATAACATAAAGTTACAAGCATTATCGTGCACTTGTGTTTCCGGTAAAGCTCTTCAAAATAAAATGTGTGGCGGACTGTTTGATATTTGCTAAAAGGCTATTAAACAAAAAGCACATTTGGTGAATATATATAAATAAGCTACCTATGTTTTTTCCATAGAATATTTGAATATTTAACGATTTTATTTCCTTGAATTACACGTTAAAACTTTTACGCTTTAACTTCCGAAAAAGTTAAACACGTCAGTGTGGTGGAGACTTGACACGGAAGTAACTTTTCCTCTCGCTTGTCAGTAAAAAAAAAAAAAA